TACAGGTCCATGATACATATATTATTAGAACTAATGGTTCTAATAATAGCTAATAACCAGAGCTACTATTTCTTAATGACTGCAATTCTAGGATTGCCACTATCACAGTCCACTGACTGTGTTCTGTTCTTTCAGCAAACATTTCTATCATATATCAGAGTTACTCATGATCGAATATGACATTGCAAGAATACACACTATTTCCCTAACCAAGGATATGAATCTGTGTAAGAGTTTAGGACACTGTGCCAAATACAATGAAATATCACTAATTGAGACTATTTTAAGAAAGTCAATGTGATTACAGATTTTAAAAACTGCATAATGTCTTGTTATCTTTATACAGATAAGATATCTCAAGGGAGATTAACAGGGGTTTAGTAGCTGAAGCCCTACTTAAGGCATTATAGAAGAATGATTTTGAATCAACATGTTAATTACCATGTAAGAAATGATGCTATAAAAAGGGTTTAAAAATGTTTTTCTGGGAATTAGAAAAAAAGTTTTTACACATGTTGACATAATTAATTTGGGGCTTTTCAAACCTTTTATTAAAAAGATTATAAGGCTATTCCTGATCCTACTTATTGGCAGAGAAAGCATTGAGAGATCTTGAAACGGCTCCTATGCTTAAAAGTATCTGTCAGTTTAACATAGGCCATGGAATGCCCACATTCAATATGCAGTTCTTTTTTTTTTTTTTTTTTTTTGAGACAGAGCCTCAAGCCATCCCCCTGGGTACAGTGCTGTGGCATCACAGCTAATAGCAACCTCCAACTCCTGGGCTCAAGCGAGTCTCCTGCCTCTGCCTCCCAAGTAGCTGGGACCACAGGCACCCGCCACAACGCCCGGCTATTTTTTTTTTTTTTTTGGTTGCAGCCATCATTGTTGTTTGGCAGGCCCAGGCATGATGGAAGAATCATGAGAGCCCCCAGGCAGTAGGGCATTCAGGGAATTAAACCAAAGCAGCCTGGGTATGGGTATTGAGGACATTATAAGGGACACACCATGCTAACATCAGAATGGAAAAATCATCAGCTTCAGAGTTTTGCTGAGAGTCTCCTCGTGAATATCATTGCTGATCAGAGAGGGCTGATTTTGAGTCAACTCTTCTGAAATTATGTGCCTGGAAAGAAGAAAATTTCCACTCAACCCTGCCTTGCTGGTTGCAGCTCAGCAAGCTGGAAGAGGGTTTGGGCCTTATCATCTGATGCCAGCATTTTCTTATCCACTTATAAGATTTAAATTAACATTCACTTATGAAGCTTATTTTTCTGGAGTGATGAGGTAATAAAGATAATGGACAGGTTCGAATAATACGAAATTCTGAACTTCCTAAAGGACCAGCCTTAGTAGTCTCCATCAAATGGCAACGTTCCCAATGATGCTTCTACAGGGCGACTGATAGAACTGCCATGCATCCCATAATAATCCTTTCCTCTTCAACAATATAGTAGAACATCACAACCATGTATTTCCCAAATGGGACTTCCACTGCATATCCAATTAAAGAGTTATCGTTCTACTGTCCCTCTGGAGAAATGACACTAAGGCACAGAGTTTTTGTTTTTAAGGGTTCTTTTGGCCACTTAAACTACCTTCGATAATGAGATCAACAGTCTTTTTATTAAGTAAAAACATAGTTGTAAATTGCATAGAGAGCTTCTCTCTGCCAAATGCTTCTCTTCCATAAAGTTAATGTGATAAAGATCATTGATAAATAAAAGAACAGTTGCCTTTTCCTGCAACGTGGCTCCTTCCAACGCTGAGGGAGTGGTGCCCTCTAGTCGTTCATTTGAGAAACATTACCCTGTCAGTCCCTTAGATCCAGCCAGTTAGATCTCCCAGTATCTGAGCGACTGAAGTGGATAATTTGACAGTTATTTTGTCTTTTCTGAACTATTAGGATTCTACTGAAGTTTCACCTAACGTGTGCACTGACTTTTTGAGTACCCGTCATGGTTAGGTACCCTATTGAGGACGTTACTAATAACGTTTTCTTTTTCAAATTCATATGAGGGTACAGATTTTTAGGTTACATTGTTTTTGCTTCTAAGGTAAAGTTCAAGACATTACCAATATCGTTTAAAACCTCATTCCTTGTGAGTATCAAACTGTGTGTGTTCCTTTCACTTGTCCTCCAAGTCTCTCCCATGCCAGTGTTTAGAGATCAGAATACAAACAGGGTCCAGATATTCCTTCAAGCTGAACAACATCTCAGATGCCAAAGGTGGTCACGAAATGGAAGAATGTTCAGAAACCTAGTGAGTCCACTATTCATAAGCTGATGAAGTTCTGACCATTTTTGTACTGGAAAGCACCACAGTTTATAGTGACAACCAATAGATTTGCAGGATTAGATAACACTAGAAGCAAATTAATCAGATTGAATAAACAAAAGAAAAATATTGGAGTTGACAATTCCATTTTTATTAGTGAAAAGAATGTTTAAGTCAGCCTTATCGCTAAAATCTCCAAAAGATAACATGTACATTACAAATGCCTTTGAAATTGGAAGGTGTGTTTTCTGTTCTCTGTGTGGCTGATACGCTATTTCAAATCCTGTAAAAGCAATACATAGTTTTTTTTTTTGACAAATACACCCATGTGTTGTGCACAGCTTGATTTATGTAAACTCATTTCAAATGCTACTGCAGAATTCCTCCTGAACAGCTGAAAAATGTCTGCCTAAAGTGATAAAAATACACGGGTGTGGAAAGATGTGCTTTTAAGAAGGGATTTTTAGATAATACAGATTTGTAACTTCATTTCACAAAATATTCTTTAAAAAAACTTCTAGAAGTCTTGATTTTTTTTTTTACATTTTTGTGTCAATTCAGATGTTTAAGATGAGAATGAATCTGTTTTGCTAAAAGACTTTTTTTGTGACATTAACTTAGCTTATGTAGAATTGGTAAGTGGGGAATGATGTTTGCATAACATAAAGCAACCTTAACTGTTCCTTCTTTTTTCCTCCATCAATCTGCACCTTCAGGCTCACTCACACACTGTATTTTTTTGTAGTATTTTCTCTATTACGAATTCAACTTGTCTTTCTAATTATATTTTATATTTAATCATGCTTAATATTTACTAGAATGGTTATTGGTTTTGTTAGTGCTCTCGTTACATACTGAGTAGGTCTTTCCTGACTCTTTTTCATAAACCCTGTCATTTTTAGTGTGTGATTTTTGCAGACCACACGAGGGTCTGCAGCACACATGTTCCTCATTAGAGCAGGAACATCTATCCTCACCCTCTGCTTATTAATTGCACTTATTGTTATTGAATTACTCTCTGAATTGCAGGCTCACCTCATGAATCCAAGGTACACAGATTAAGATATCAATTGCCTACTGGATTCGTTTGTTTAATGTCACTTTCACATGATAATACCAGCCCATGTGCACATTATATCGCCCCATTAAAAAGTAACCTTTCTATCTTTGTGTCCAGGCAATTGCTAAAAATATTTTCACAACAAAAAAAAGCACTTAATAAAGATTTGACATGCTTCTTCCACTGAAGCTTGTTTTTATATTTAAAAATCTCTAGTATACAGTTTAGATACATTTAGGAAATTGATCTTTACTCCCCCCCCCACACACACACACGTAACACACATTCAACTCCCAGGCCTCCTTTAAGTAATTTGTGGTTTGTATTTAAATTTTACTTTGAACGTGGTCTGAAATCTTAAATTTTATCCATTCAAATTGCAATGAATCAGGATGTTTAATTATGGTATAATCAAGATTCCGAGAGATGAACTCGTCCATTCTAAAATCTCTTTTCACATATTAGCCAGTTGACTCAGAAGAATGTAGATATTTTTCCAGGAAGATGTCTTTCATTTTATTTTTGTGAAGATATAGATATATCTAGCTTTTGTTTTACAGGAAAAACAGTTTCTAATACTTCTTCCACATAACTGTTACCGGTGTCAGCATGAATGATTTTTTAGAGTACTAGTGGTAAGCATATAGTACAGTTTTCAAAAGATCTGTGCTCCAAGATCAAGTCAGAATTTTTCCTAAATAAGCCAAGCATTGCACTGGGCACTAGTAGAGGAAAGCTGAGCCAAGTTCTGTTTTTAAGGAGAAACAGAAGATGACAGTGTAGACATTTCAGCATGTTCTCTCGCAAAGATGTGCACAGTGTCGGAGGACCCAGCAGAGGTGGTGACGACCTCAGAGAGTCAGAGAGGGGACGCTTTAACCTGCACAATCAAAACAACGCCTCATTGAGTTTCTTACTTTGTTTCTCCTTCTTTTGCTTCTCTGAAGTTTTTAAGTTGTTATTTGATTGTAGAATTTTTTTTTTTTTTTGCAGTTTTTGGCTGGGGCTGGGTTTGAACCCGCCACCTCCAGCATATGGGGCTGGCGCCCTACTCCTTTGAGCCACAGCCACTGCCCTAGAATAATTTTTTTTTTTTAAGAATCTCTCAATAGGGTGATGGGAATATTCTGTTTTGGTCTTCATGGTGGAGTATACCAGATTCATCAAGCTGTATACATTACCACTGGTGCAATTTAACAAATATAAATTATACCTCAAATTTTAGTAAATCTATCAAAACTTAGGTGCTACTCACTATTTAAAAAAATTCAGCTTCCTGGGGCGGCACCTGTGGCTCAGTGAGTAGGATGCCAGCCCCATATACTGAGGGTGGTGGGTTCCAACATGGCCCCAGCCAAACTGCAACAGCAACCATAAAAAATAAGCCAGGCATTGTGGCTACAGGTGGGCACCTATAGTCCCAGCTACTTGGGAGGCTGAAGCAAGAGAATCACCTAACCGCAAGAGCTGGAGGTTGCTGTGAGCTGTGACATCAAAGCACTCTACAGAGGGTGACAAAGTGAGACTCTGTCTCTAAAAAACAAAAAAAATTCAGCTTCCTTCTTTGATGACTAAGGCAACCATAAGTGCATTAGAGAAAGAAACCTGAAGAATGATCTCATTGCATAATAATAATTTTATTTTTTTATATTGTCTTCCAGCTGTAGGTCCAGATTTTTCAAGAACGCTCTTGAAAAGAGTAACTCTTGTGAAAGTGGGAGGTGAAGTTGTCATTGAGTGTAAGCCAAAAGCTTCTCCAAAACCTGTGTACACCTGGAAGAAAGGAAGGGACGTATTAAGAGAAAACGAAAGGTACTATCCTGAAACAGTTTTAACATCGGTTAACCTGTAAGGATTTGTCGGTCTGTAGTTGACAGTTTGGGGGAGGCATGGCATGTACTATCTGCCATTCCTTGATCAAAGGTTAATCTAAGGACTGAAGCTTTCTAAGGGCGGATGGTAAATTAATGGTCTTTATGGTCCTTCTTCACACTGGGACTCTACAAAGCACTCCCTGTAGAGGGAGTTCACGTGTTCACTGTTGAAGATTACTAGGGCTGCCTGAAGATGAGCAGCTAGAAATAGCCTACTTAATTTTAGTCTAAAATTTCACTGTAGATTTGCCCACTCTTCCCCGTCCTACCTTTTTTTGCCACATACAAATAAAGCTGCTGCTTCTTTGCTATGGCAACCCTTTGATTATTTGGCAATGGCTAATACGTCTCCTGCTACTCTCTCCTTTTTTGAGTCTGTCTCTAATTTCAAAACTTGTGCGTGTAGCAGATTATTCTGCTTGATTTTTGTTTATTTAAATCATGTCTTTTTCAGACAACAGTTTTTTCTCTGTCCAAACTCTTTACCTGTGCATCCCCTATTATTCATGAATTACGTTTGAAACACATGTTGTTTATATAATATAAATATATCTGAGTGACTTGAGGGTTTACATTAGAGAGCACCAAACGGCAGGTGTCTCTGAGACCTTTTCTTGGCTGTCACTCCTATAAAATATCCCCTACCTTTTTTCTGTAATCTACTCAATCTGTTGCAGAATGGTAATTATGCATGTTTCTGTTTGTCACCCGTAAGACGGGGTTTACCAGCTGTATACATAATGATTTTAATTGATGCTAAAGGTCAAGTACTCAACGATGCAATAGAGAAAGCCTATAAAACTGTGCGTGGATCTGCCCTTTATGCCTGTACACCTTTGTATTTGCATATACAAATTAGATCATTTTGCTGATGATGTTGTCCTTTTTAATGGTTTTGTAAACAAACCTGATGTGGTTTATAGATAGTGTATTCACACACATGTTAAATTCATAACATACATCCTTTCCTATTTTTGGCATTTCCAAAAAACTGTAGGACCCTGAATATTGGCATGGAGTTCAAATCTGGATCCAAATCTGAACATTTAGAGCATAATTTATTATTTTGCAACATCCAACATCAGGGTCATCTCTTATTTTACCTCAGTGTTGCCCAAAATGTGGTATATGAGATTACTTTCAATAGTTGACGTGGAACGTAATTGAAATATGACTAGTCTATACTACATACATTGCTTAAAATAAGGCTACATTTAAAATGTTGTCATTGAAACATCAAGAAAAAAGGTTAAAAAATAATACTAAGAATAAGAAAAAAATTAAGAAAAATAGTAAAAGATATGTATGTCTAAAACCGTAAATGAATGAATTAGAGTAACACCACTGCAGATTAATCAGAAGCTAAGCTGTGCTACTATAACAAACAGTGGTTTATAACAACAAAAAGGCTGGTGGCTCACACTTGTAATCCAGCACTCTGGAAGGCCGAGGCAGGATGATTGCCTGAGCTCAGGAGTTCAAGACCAGCCTCTGCAAAAGTAAGACCCCATCTCAACTAAAAATAGAAAAATTAGTCAGGCATTATGGTGGGCACCTGTAGTCCCACAACTGGGGAGGCTGAAGCAAGAGGATTGCTTGAGTAAGTTTCAGGTTGCTGTGAGCTAGGCTGGCACCACAGCACTCTAGCGTGGGCCAACAGAGTGAGATTCTGTCTGGGCAGCGCCTGTGGCTCAAGGAGTAAGACACCAGCCCCATATGCCAGAGGTGGCAGGTTCAAACCCAGCCCAGGCCAAAAAAAAACGTGCAGAGTGAGATTCTGCCTCAAAAAAAAA